AAACTCTTAATGCATATCGAGGAATGGATGGATCAGAAAATAACTATCTATATAGTTTTGGTATATTTCTGTATTCAGAAGGAATGACCTCTGTCACTGTGGCTTGAGCCCTTCTCTCTGAAGTCCATGCCGAGGCTGTGGGTGGTGGCTGGGAGTGGGGGAGGGCTCAGCTCGGCCCTCCTGAGGCCCGGAGCACCTGGTGCAGCGGGACACAAGGACGGAGGCCCGGAAATGCCGCTCCCAAGACACAGCTTCCACGGGCTCTGCATCCCGGTCCTGGCCTGTGCTGTGGGTGAGGATGGGGGAGGCCGTGGACGTGGGAACCCATGGCAGGCGGGGAGGGTGTCTGTGTGTCACGCGGGTTTGGGGACATGAGAGGTGGGTATCAGCTCATGTGCCCGTGAGAGTGAATGTGCCAGGGGCGGAGTGTGAAGTGGAAATGTGGGTGGGGTTGGCACAGATGGCAGCGGTCATGTGTGCGTGTGAGCAGACGCGCATGCAGTCGCCATAAATGTGTGTCGAGAACGTGCATGTGTGTGCGCAGCTCCCCAAGGTGTCCGCACCGTCTGAGTGTGAGGAATCTGTCAGTGTGTCCTGGCTGGTATGAAGATCTGTGCTTTGCGTGTGCATTTATTTATTTTTTATTTGTTTTGGTACAGGGTAGGGGGTGGGGATCAAACAGCAGTAGGCAGCACCACTGAGCTAAATCCCCTGCCCAAGTGTATTTATTTTTATTTGCTTTTAATTTTATTTATTTATTTTGAGACAGGGTCTCGCTGTGTCAGACCGGCCTTCAACTCCCTATGTAGCCCAGGCTGGCCTCGAGCTCACAGCGATCCTCCTGCCTCAGCCTCCCGCGTGCTGGGATCACAGGTGTGCGCCATCTGGCTGCGCACACATTTAAAATGCTAGCGTGGGCCACACCGGGAACCCTCCAGAACCCTGGGAGGCTGAGGCAGAAGAAGCACAAGTTTACCGGTCAGGTGGGGAGAGGGAGCTTCCGGCTGGGACCGGGTGCAACGCAGACTGAGAGAGTCACAGGGACAGCAGCGAGCAAGGGCGGGGCACAGGGAGGGACAGGGTGACTGACGGAAGTAGGACAGTGCTCAGAGGGAAGACGGAGGAAGGCGGGCACGGGGGCTGGCACGGGCTGCCAGCGGGCCCAGCAGCGACTCAGGGACGCGGGGGCGGGGTCTGAGGCTCCACGTTGAGCTGCTCCGGGGCCCACCCAGCACACACGTGGGCAGAGGACCCGAGTCCCCTGACAGGCACAGAGGAGAGCCGCTGGGGCCTGAGCAGGCTGAGGGGGCTGGTGGAGCCCGTGGTGACCAAGACCAGAGAGAGGTGGCAGTGGTTCTGGTGAGCAGGAGCTGGGGGGGGCAGTGACCTAGAGCCCGGGACTGAGGGAGGAGGCAGGGCCTGGAGCCTCGTGTCACAGGGATGGATGTGAACGGGGCAGCTGGGGCCTCAACTGTCCTGTGCCCTCCCACAGGGGCCCCGGGGCCTTCCGAGGCTTCGTGCTGACCTACTGTGACGACCACCTGAAAGACCTGGGTCCCTGCACACAGGCCTGGCTCGTCAGCTCCAAGGACAGGCTCCTGAGCAAGACCCTCAGCCTGTGCCCCAGGATCCTCTGCAGGGACCGGGCCCCTCAGCACTAGAGGCCTCTGCCTCTCACCACCCATAATAAAGATTTCCTATCTGCGCAGGTCTGGATCTCTTGGCTCTGCCCTCTCCCCTCACACACCTAGGGACTCGGGACGGAAGAGGTGACACCTGCTGGGGAGGGACACCCGGGGCTTTGGGAGCAGAATCAGAGAAATCACTCGTGCAGGTACACACACGCACACACACTGTGGACTTGCAAGGGCAACAAGTGTGGAAGTAATAAGGCCCGCTGGGTGTGGCGGTGCACACCTGTAATCCCAGCACTCGCGAGGCTGAGGCAGGAGGATCACCTTGAGTTCAAGGGCAACCAGGGCTCCATAGTGAAAATCTATCTAAAAAGAAGGGGGGCCGGGCCTGGTGGCGCGCACCTGTAATCCCAGCACTCGCGAGGCTGAGGCAGGAGGATCGCTGTGAGTTCGAGACCAGCCTGGGCTACACAGTGAGTTCCAGAGCAGTCTCAACTACATAGTGAGACCCTGTCTCAAAAAAACAAACAAAAAAAAATAATAAATTAAAAATTAAAAAATAAAAAGAAGCGGAGGATGGGAAGTTTGGAGAGAGGGTGTGGCAACAGGTCTCCAGAGGGTCCCTTTTCTCTTTGCCCGGACTCCAGCAGATGCAGACCCCAGACCTCTCCCTGGTGGATGCCTGGAACCCTAACTCCTCTCCTGCCCTTAGCACCACTCCTCTCAGGGGTGAGCTCTCCAAGTGGGGCTTCCCTGACGTTTGGCCTGGAGGGTGTCCCGCCTGCCCCGCCTGCCCTCACCGCCCCCCCGGCAGCTCTGTTGGTCAGGACTTTGGCCAGGGAGAAGGGCCGCGTGGCGGGAGGTGGACCCAGCGCTATAAAGCCTGTGTGCCCCAGAACTGGGAGGACGCGTGCCTGAGCCGGAGTGGGGTAAGACAGGGACAGGGTCGGGGGGGCAGCAGGGAGGGACAAATAGGAAATGGCAAGAGACGTCACGTCATCATAGTGTTTAGATTTGTGGGGTCGCCCACCCTGGCCCTCCTCCCCTGAGACTTCTCCTCTGGATGCAAACTCTGCACTCTGGTTAGTCCCAGAGCACCTTCCTGCCGGCGGGGGGCTGGCAAGGATTCATGAGAAATACTGCCAGAGAGCAGGACCTGGCACAGGCCGCAATGGGCACCTGGGATTCTGGGTCAGGAGTGTTGGGCTGGGCTGTGGTGCGTGGCAGCACACGTTGGGCCCTGGTGGCTCGAGGATGCACCCCTGCTGTGAGGGCCTTTGGGACAGGCTTTACCATAAGTATGAATAAGCAGATGTGAGAATTAAAATGCTGGAGTTGGGTGTGGTGGCTCACGCCTATAATCCAAGGCTTCGAGAGGCTGAGGCAGGACGATGGCCATGAGTTTGAGGTCACCCTGGGCTACACAGTGAGACCCCCAGCTCAAAAAAAAAAAGGAATTCTGATGGTGGTGGGGGGGATTGGAGTATACCTGTAATCGCACCTTCTCAGGAGGCTGAAGGAGGAGGATAGCATATTTCAGCCCAGCCTGGGACTGAGCAGGATTCTCTTAAAAAAAAAAAAAAAAAAA